AAATTCTTGGGAATATTCTAGAAGTCCTAAAGCCTTGATTCGGAATTACTCATTTGAATTGTTCATCACCTTTAATTTAAACCAGAAAGATGATCTTAAGGGATAATTTTATACCACAACATTAGAAGTTATTTTGAAAATAATTCCTGCTGAGACTCAAGCCAACAGTCTCCTTTATCTGATTTGTACTGATGAGACCCATATTGCACGTTATCTAATTTCTGACTTTTACACATTTCAGACGAACAGAGTAAAGTGTGATTAGAATTTTCTAACCTTTCCCAGTATTTCACATAATATTTGCATATGTACACTCTGCCAAGCTCTGCAGTTTTTTGGCTGGAAGACATTATAGTGGGATGAGAGAGGATAAATATATTTGCCTCTCTTTTAAACTCTTCTTTTTTGTCTGTTCTCATTCTTTAGCCACATTGTATAAAAATATACCACACATATGAATTATTTCTTTGGCAGGAAATTGGCTCTACTGAGTGGTGAAACAGGTATCTCAACGCTTTCCAGTACTCGTTCACTGCATTTGCATTGCATTTAAAGTTAAATATAGAAATGCAAATGTTACACTGTCAAATGAGGCATAAGAGGGGACAGGAAGTAGCATTTACTGAGCATCTACTGTCCCTTTTGGTGGGACCTTTTAATTACAACATCCCTGTGAGGTCGATACTATATGCATCTTACAAGCGAAGAAACTGAGGCTCAAAATGTAAGTAACTTACCCAAGGGTGGATAACTACAGCATTAAGCGACAGTACTAGGATTTAAACCCGGTACTAGCCAGATTCAGACCACCTGTTTTCCCTATTTCTTAGAATTAGAGAATACATTTTCCTGTTTAATAGGTGCTATTTCTTGAACTTTTGGAACTATAGAAATTGCAATGAGTCTGACTGATAGTCCATGTAACCTAATCTCTAATGAAGCCAAGGGTTAATTTTCAAAAGGCAGACTTCTTAAACTGCAGAAGTAACTGTGCCCGTTTCTAATAAATAACATTTGAATCCTTCTTTTGGTGAAATGAAACAAAACATTTGTTGAAGTAAAGGTGCTTTTTTTGGTAGATCTTTGTAAAGATCCTGCATTGGTATGTAGAATAACATTGGCCTTCATATTTTCCTGCTTTAAAAAATAAATTGTTTAAAAATTTAAATCTTTGCTAAACTCAGAAAGGAAGGAGATAAATATTTTTGCAAAAAGTAGAGCATATAATACCTTCCTATCATGTTTCACTCAATTTTTTTTTCTTAGATTGCTTTGTTAGTATATTACTGTTGATTAGCTGGGTAAGGAGTTTAGAAAAGAAAATATATTGTAAAATTTATGGATCACATGAAGCTGAAAATTGTGAAGAGACTGATTTCCGAGTTTGGAATCTGTAGTGTCTGTAGCAATAGATCAGAACTGGAAAAGGATGAAGCAAACATTTAAAATAAGGCTTTATTCATGGGATAGAGAATACATGGTTTAGTTGCAGTGTAAGTAAAGAAGATGAGGATTTAATCAACAGAAAACTAAATATGACTCAGCAATGTGTTGTGGACTTTCCAAAAATATTGCATATGTGAATTGCATTAATATAAGTTATTATCTAGGACAGAGGAGATGATACGCCCTTTACTCTGCATTGGTCATATCAAGGTTGGAATGTTCATTGCATGCAATTCTGTGTACCACCCTTTAAGAGGAATTGGACGCATTCTCAGAAGGAAGATGGCTTCATCTGTCTAAAAATAATGTTTGAAGGAACTTGAGCTATCTAGAAAAGAAGAGACTTGGAGTGGTTTGTAATTGTAGCTGTGGATTTACTTGCTGTGACTTTGCAGATATAGTGCAGGCAAGTTAGCCATCACATATTAGTATCTCTCTTAAAGGGAATTTGTTGCTGAGGGAAGTTACAATACAATAAAGAATTTTTGATTGTTTACTAGCAGCCAAAGCTTTTTCTGAGATACGGTGCAGTAGGCTGCCTGCATTTTTATCTTGATAGTGTTCAAACATAGATGAGAATGGGATAGAAAGAACTGAAGCATATGATGTATATTTGAAACAGAAGACCTTCAAGATCCCTTACCAATCCTAAACTTTTTTGGTTCTAAGATCAAAAGGACTTTATGGAGTCTTATTTTAGCCTCATGAATCTATCTCACCTTAATAATAGTCATTTGCATTGGTATAGCTCTTCACAGTTTATAAAGTGCTTTCTTATGAGTTAACTCAGTTTTCAACCTAACAATAAATAACCCATTGGGTAGGCAAGGCACGTATCCTCATTTGCACATATCCAAATAAAAGTAATAGGCTAGGAGAGAATCTGAATTGCCTCAAAACATGAAGCTTATAAGTGGCAGACCTAGGACTCTATCCCTGGTCCACCAATTCCAAGTTTAGTGCTATTTCAACTGTATCAGTTTGCCTTCAAAAGTAAGTTATAAGTTGTGATTCTTGCTTTGCACACATGAAAGCCGCAAGGAGCAGACAGTTCTCAAATTATATTCCAATGAGAAATATAAATGTAGCTCAAGTTAGACTAGGGATTCCAAAAGCCAAATAATAGGGGAGCTGTTGAATAAATTATTATAGTCTGTGTACAATTAATGAGAAAAATCTAGTTTGGGTTACTAGATGAATGATGGTAACATTCACTAAGATAGCAAACACAGAAGTAGCAGGTTGGTGGGCGACAGAGTGGGTGATTGAATTGAATTTTGGATGTAATTAAAATAGCTAACATCGATTGTTTACTAAGTGCCAGATACTGTGCTTAGAGTTTTATATCATTTATCTCATTTAGTCTTTACAATTCTCTGAAGATAAGACTTTAATTTTCACTTTCCATATGAAGAAACTAAAGCTCTAGATAGTTTAAATAATTTGTCTAAGCCTTCATAAGTAGTGCAAGAGCAGATATCTGATCTAAGTGCCTGACTCCGAAGCCAGTGTTCTTAAGAGCTAGTTTTAGGTTCATCTGGGGTGTCCAAGTAAAAATAACCAGTATTCAGTTGAAAAAATAGTTGTGGCTTTTAGGAGAAAGATGTATCCTAGAGTTGAGTCCTTAACATAGAAATGACCTCTGAAAGTGTCTTGGGAAAATAAAGATTTTATACCTGCCTCCCCCTTTTTTGCATTTCAGCACCATTTCTGTACTTCATAATATTGTACAGGCATTTCCTAACCTAGGAACATACTCTTGAGTATTTGAAAATGAAAGGTGCCCTATTTATGGGTTAGTAGCCTTGTGCCATGTTTATTAACCTTTCATCTCCAGCTTGGTGCCTAGAACATAGCATGAATAAAATTAAATAAATGGATGGATGGATGAATAAATAGGAATGGAGAGAGTAGAGAGAGGAATTAAAAATCAGGGCAGGTGTCTCATGTGGACTATAGGGTAAAATGGGTGGTTTACAGTTCATAGTGCTTCAAAGATGGTTAGCTTAGATTCTCGCACATTTGTTGAATTAAAAGTAGTCAAGGGAATTCACCTCTTTTTCCAGTGAGGAAACTAGAGAAGACACTATATGTTCCTGACTCTGGTTTTGTTTTATTTTGTTTTAAATTACACAGATAATACATATTCATTGAAGACACTATAGACACATTAGAAAATTAAAACAATCAAAAACAAACAAAATTTAAATTGTCTAAAATTCTACCACCCAGAGATAGCCACTGTTAACATTTTGGTGTATATGCTTCCAGAGTTTTTCCCATAGAAATATATACATTGAAACATGTATATATTTATCTAAAATGGGATCATTCAATCCATATTGTTTTGTAAACTGCTTTTTCACTTATTACATGCAACTGTCTTTTCATGTCAATAAATTTACATCTTTATCATCATTTTTAATGGCTGCATAGTATTCCATAATGTGGTTGTACCAAATATATTTAACTAGTTCTCTATTGGTAGGAATTTAGATTTCCAATTTGAAGTTCTTTTCGGAAAAAGTTATGGAGAGCGTTCTTGTATGTACCACTTTGCACACTTGTCCATTGTTTTAAAAAAATAAATTGAAGTGATAGGCCATTTCAAACTTTTATGTTTGTTTTTTTTAGATACAGACTCGTATTGCCTTCCTGAAAGGTTGAGCTGATTTACACTTTCCCCAGCAGTATATCCTGAGTATTCTTTTCCCCATATTAGCACTGGGTGTTATTTTCTCTGTAAATCATTACCAGTTTGAAAGGCAAAGGTATCTTTCAATTAAATGCATTTCCTTGATTAGTGCTAAGGCTGAACTCTTTTTTTCCTTTATTGCTCATTTCTGTTGAGGTCCATCGTTTTTTCTTACAGGTTTGTAAAACAAAGCTCTTTGTGTATTGAAGATACCAACCCTTTGTCATGTTGCTTTTATTTCCTTTTGTAATTAATTTTTATGTGTCTGGCAGAAGAAGTTTTAAACTTTTATGGATTCAAATGTCAATTTTTTCTTTATGATTTCCATCCTCCTTACCCCATAAGTATTATTCACCTATATTTTCTTCTAATACTTGTATAATTTTATCTTTGACATTTAAATGTTTAATCCATTTGGAATCTATTTTGATGTAGAGATCTGGCTTAATTTTCCCCTGAATTAAGTTGCCCTGATTAATTATCAGTGGAGTTGGAATTTAAAATGTGTTTTCCCATAGAAAGTATTGTAAATGAAGTTTGATACGATTTGAATAAGACCATTTGTAATGCATTTAACTATTAAAATAAACTCAAGGCCCCCCCCAAAAGGTAATTATCATTTATTATATCATTTCCATGGAAAGTGTTTTTATAGTTTAAAATAAACAATTTACATATTAACTTTTGAAGCACAGCTTATTTCAAATTGGCAACTGCATACTCATGGTGGTTCTGTACTTCGTTAGAACCCTTCAGGGGTGAAAATATTCTTGTATGAATTTGTTTTGTCTGCCTTCATTTAACTTTAACTGATGTGAATTCTGTTTTGGTAACTTTCTACTTGCTGTGCTTTTCGCAGAATGGACAGCAAATTATGGATGAACCTATGGGAGAGGAGGAGATTAATCCACAAACTGTAAGTGAAATATTGTATAATAAGAGATATAGATAAATCAGATACCATAAAATTTAAGTATTCTTACTTTTAAACTGAGTAAAATGATGATTTTTTGGTATTAGAAATTTGTTGATGCTTTCACATGAGTTTTACCAAAATACATTCTTGAATATGCCAGTGATGTTTTAAAAATCTGTTTGATAAGACAGATCTGTTTGATTTTAAGAGAATGAAAAAAAATTGCTTTTATATTGTTGCAAGTTTTTCATTAGTACCTTAAAAAAATTTTTTTTAAATATCAAACTAACCGTATTGTCAGAGGCAAGTTAATAAACTGCCTCCCCCTGCAAGATAACCATTGTTATTATTTTAGTTATTATTATTTAGTTATTATCAGCTCAGTTATTATTTTCTTTTTCTACTGTGCATAAGACAATTATTGTTGATGTTTACAAAATACATATATTCTGCAACTTATTTTCACTTAATGTCTTAACATCTTTTATGACAGAAAATGTAGATCTACATCTTTTAAATGGTCGTGTAATCAATTTTATGCATGTCCTATACTTAATGTAATCATCCCCTATTTATTTTTGTGAACTTGTGTTTCATTAGGATATAGTCTTAGAAAAGGATGTGCTGGAACAAAGGGTATGAACATTTAAATCTCAGTAGACAGTTCGAGATTGCCCTCCAAACCAAAAATTACTTCCAGTGTTGAATAGGGTATGGTCAAACTGGATATTATCAGAAATTGTTTTTAATTTGAGCCATTCTAAATAAATAATACTTTCTCATTTTAATTTACATCTTACTTGATTATTAGTGAAGTTGAGCATCCATGCATTATTGGCTTTTGTATTTTTGTATTTGTCAAACTTTCTTTGGGGTTACTTGTCTTCTTATGATCTGTATTAATCTCTGTATATATTCTGGATATTAACTCCATGTTTATAATGTATCTTGAAAATATTTTCTTCATATTTTTTAAGATTGATTATGTTGTATATGTACAGAAGTCTTCATTTTTAAGTCATTGGAACTGGCTTCTGGGTTTTATGTTTTGGTTAGAAAATTCTTCCCTGCACCAAGGTTATAAAAATATTCTCTTACATTTTCATCTACCACTTTTGTGGTTTTATTTTTTGCATTTAGATTTGTGATCTACTTGGAATTTTAGTACCTGTTGTGATGTAGAAGTCTAACCTTCCTTTCCAAACAAATAACCTGTTGTCCTAATCTCTATGTAACTGAATGAATAAATAAAACCCAACTGTTCCCACTCATTTGAGATCCTTCTTTTATCATATATAAAATTGCCATATACCCATGGTATTAGTTTCCTAGGGCTGCCCTAACAAAGTACCACAAACTGGGTGGTGTAAAACAATAGAAATTTGTTCTCTCACAGTCCAGAAGAGTAGACGTTTGAAATCAAGGTGTTGACAGAGCCATGCTCTCCCTGAAGACTCCAGGGGAGGTTTCCTTGCCTCTTCCAGCTTCTGGTGGGGCAGTCCTTGGCATTCCATGGCATGTAAACACATCACTCCAATCTCTACCTCCACTGTCAACATGGCATTCTCCCTGTGTGTTTCTGTGTTCAAAAGTTCCTCTTCTTATAGGGACACCAATCATTGCATTAAGGCCCACCCTACTCCAGTCTGACCTCATCTTAACAGAATTAGATCTGCAAAGACCCTGTTTTCAAATAAGATCATATTCACAGGTATCAGGGATTAGAACTTGAACGTACTTTTTTAACAGTTTTTTAAATTTTATTTGTCAGTTATAACTAACATACAAATCAGTTTCAGGTATATGGCATAGAGATTACACATTTATGTACCTTACGAAGAGGTCACCCCAGTAAATCTAGTACCCATGTGGGATCATGTAAAGCACAGCATAGGGAATATTGAACATACCTTTTTAGAGGACACAGTTCAACCTACAACACCCCTGAAGGCTTCAACTTCATATACAATTTCAGTTACTGTACTTTTATTATTATATGGCAAACCAAAACTTCCCACCTTTTTACTTTTCAAAATTGTAGTCTTGTACATCTTCCAGATACATTTTGCAATCAATTTATCAAGTACTCCTGAAAAATGTATTGGGATTTTTTAATCAGAATTACATTTAACTTACAGATGAACTTGAAGAAAATTATTTTAATAATATTGGGTCATCACATCTAAGGACATTGATTTACTCTGATATTCTTTTATAAACTTTATCAAAATTTTATGGTTTCTTACATGTAGTTTTGTCTTTCTTATTAAAATAATTCATGGATATTTTGTTACATTGTAAGTGGGATTTCTTTTCTCTATGTCTTCCATGTGGTTATTGCTAGTATATTAAAAAATTATGTTTCTATATGCTTTTTAACATCTTGGGAAAGGTAATTTTCCAGAAACCAAACAAGTTTTCATGAATATTATGTTAGTTATGGAGGAGTGAAATCATTGAACTGTTCTTAAAACCCTTTAATAGTTTTGTGTTCCCTTTAAATAAAGTCCAAACTGCAGTGTCACCTACCAGGCCCTGCATAATAAGGCCTTTGCATACAATTCTCCATATCCTCTCCAGCCACACACCTCTACCCTCTGCTGAAAGCCCAATCACTCAAATGTGTCAGGCTCTCTTTTGCCTCTGGGACTTCAGAGGCAATATGCCCTCTCCCAGAATTTTTTCCCCTTACCACCCCGCCCCATTTAATTCCTGATCATCCTTCAGATCCAAGTTTTGATATCATTTTAACTGAGACATCTTCCTGAAAACAACTGTCACTTCCATTTTCACCTTGAGTTCAGGGTTTTTCCTTTGTGTTGCCACAGCAGTCTATCCACACCCTAAATGGCAGCACCACACTAGATTCTGTTGCTTATTTATTTGTTTATATTTCCTACTAAACTGTGAGCTCCATGAGGCAGCGACCCTATCTGATTTATTCCTTATTTTACATCTAGCACCCCAATATGTGCTTGTTAATTAAATGAATGCATGAATTATGTTCTGGATAGCACAGGGACCTGGGCGTGGGGCCTTGTGCCCAAGGCTACCCTCACATTTGGTCTAGATTTCTGTACCTCCCAAACCATTTGAAGCACTTTACTTCATTAGTCTATAATATGCATTTATTAGCACTTAAGCAAACCTAAAAACAGCCAGCCCTGGCCGGCCTGAGCAGCGAAAGGTTGCCAGTTTGATTCCTAGCCAGGGCACCTACCTGGGTTGTGGGTCAGGTCCCTTAGTCAGGGGATGCGCGAGGCAACTGATCAATGTTTCTCTCCTTTTTCTCCCTCCTTCCCCTCTCTCTAAAAATAAATAATTGAAATCTTAAAAAAAAAAATCTGTAAGTGTTAATACTGATTTTTTTCTGCCACCAGCTATCTTTTTCCTTTATGTAACAATTCCTTTGGAAGGACGACCTTCAAATTTTTTATTCTCTCTAGTCTAAAATCAAAGCATTTTCCATTGCAATATTATTTGGCTCATCCTTTCCCTCAGAGTACTCACAGCATTAGTAACATGTACCTCTGGAAGAAAACTGCATTCCAGAGATAGGGTGAAAAGGTACAGGACTAAGACATTACCAGCAGAGCGGACGAACTTGTTGAACAGATTATAGACGTTAGGTTTAAGTATAAGGTAAAAGCCTAATATTTACTATTTCCTTAATGGTGTTAAAACCAAAAGATTTTCAAAATATATGTTAGCTTTATACTTTTAAATTATATTTGCCTTCAGTGTACACTTAAAAGTTTTCACTTTGTCAGTTACTGATAATTTAAATAGAGAAAGTTGAGATGTCACATTAGTTATCTATTTGATACATAATAGATTCTGCCAAATTTAGTAGATTGAAACAACATACACTTACTATCTCACGGTTTCTGGGGGCCAGGAATCTGTGCACATCTTAACTGGGTTCTTTGGATCAGAGTCTCTCACAGACTGCAGTTAAGCAGTTGGCCAGGGTAGGGTCTCATCTGAACCTTAACGTGAAGAAGGATCTCTTCCAAGCTGATATGTTTGTTGGCTCGGGTTCCCGGCCTGTAGAACCTAACAGATAATTGTATGTGTGGAACTTGTCACCTGGTAGGCTTTCTTGTATATTACGGCTGGTTTTCCATGGGCTAGAATGCAGAGTGTAATGGTTAGCCAGTTTTGACCATGACAAGACCACAGTATGGATGGAGAATAACAAGAGAGAAGAAACCTGGGTCTTTGAATGGCCTAATTATATAGTGACACCTCTTCACCCTCACCTACCCTCTTACCTATGGAGTGCTCCATGAGAGAAAAATAGGCACTTATTTTGTTTGAGTCATTGCATTTTGAGGTCTTTTTGTTACAGCAGTTTAGTCTGTAACTACATCTAATCATTAATCAATCAAGTAGTTAATGAATGTCTGTTGCGTGCCAAGAACTATGTTAGGTTGTTGGGGGCACAGAAGCATACAAGGAAAACTTTTAGTTTTAAAATGGCGAGATAAAGCTGTTTGTGTCCTCTTCTCTGGGAAATTATCACCCAAAACAATAAGGAGAATAAGAAACAGAAACGTGTTCTTTGAAATTAGAAGACTTCTGTTACTAAACCACAATATGTATATACAAAAAGCAGATAAAAAGAGTCATAACAAGAGGAAGTTATAGGACCTAACCGCTTTTAGAGGAGTATATCAGCAGGAAGCAAGCCTTATTCCCCACCCCCAAAGCCCCAGAAGAGCTTAAGAATGAGGTCACCAGGTACTACAGAAAGTGGAGATATGACACAGGGCTGAAAACAGATTGGTTGGATGTCTATATAAAGAACCTCCACTCTCTCCCATCTCCTACCCCTGGAAGAGACAGAAGGTAGAAAAAAAAAATGAACCAGAGAGGCTCCACACTTGGGAAACCCTAGGCATAGTAGGAAGTGGGGTGAGACACTGGGCTAGAAATAGGGAGATCAAACGAAATCTGCCTCCTGAATGGTGGAGGGGCCCCTGCGATGTCTCTTGACC